GGGGGGGGGGGGCATGGTGGCTGCTTTTAAATATTTGATGGACTTTTTAAAACCCTGAGTTGTTTCAAAGCCAGAAATTGGATTAATATGTAGAAATTAAAGGAAGAAATGTTTCTGATTCAATATCAAGGAAGTATTCTCTAACATGAGAGTTGATCAAAAGTGAAGTGTACTGCCTCAAAAATCAGTGAGATGACCATCATGAGGAATTTTCAAACAAGCTGAATGGTCGCATCTTAGAAATATTTTCTGTACTGGGTATGCAGGTTATTTCTATACAGAGTGAGACACTGTACTAGATAATTTTCCTAAATTTCCTTCAGGTTCTGAGTTTCTTTAATTATTTGGCATCACAGGAATCATCACTATGTTTGCCACCTTGGACTTTTAAACTTACTGGCTTTTGATATTTAACCAGACTTTCCGGATATGCCCCGATGCAGGCAGCCAAACAAAGTTGTTTTTCCTCATAATCTGTAGGAATGGGGACTTCCTTTGATAACTGAATCCAAACAAGCTGGAGATATTTTCTCTCCCCTGCCCACAGCTTTTGTCAAATGACCATGTGTACCAGGAATTGTTTCAAAGGACAGAGAGAAAGGTTCACCGTCAGCCCCCTCCTGACCTGCTAAATCTGGACTGCAAACAGGGCCAGTTTCATGGTCATGAGAACTATACAATTGCAATGGGTCCCATTCTTGGTTTAATGATCTGTTATCACTGCTTTGAAATTTTTAATAGTTTATGAACAAGGGGACCCACAAATTCTGTAGCCAGTCCTGACTACAATTTTTATCTATAGTTCCTCACCACCCACTCCCTCCTTGTTATTTTAGACTGACTCCTGTCTTTAGGTGGAATAGGCCTCTCTCTCAAGTCCTCTACTGCCTAATGGCCAATTCCCTTAGCCTCTCCTTAATCATCATACATTTTAATCTGACTAGAGTATCTGATATTGTTGACAAATCATACTTTTAAATTCTCTGTTTGGTTTCCATGACTCTATGGAAACCATAGAGCATGGTTTTCTTCTTATCTCTGAACTTGTTTGATAAAGCCAAGTAGAATAATGGATGAAATTAGTAGTCACATTACATGCCTTTGGGCTTTTCTCTCTCTAGAATGGGCCAATACTCTATCCACTAGGATATATTGGTACTCCCTTTTTTCCCACAGGGTTAGTGACAAAATGGCATCCAGATCGATAAATTTAAAGGCTGAACTACATTCCTACCTGGCTGGTATTACAAATCATATACGGTGGGTGAGAGTGGGGGCAGGGGGTTATTGTTTTGTTTTGCTTTCCTTGACACAGCAATGAAGTGAAGAACATACCAAGGCGTTCATCAGTTGAATATATAAATGGTCGTAAATTTCCTCGAGTCTCCTTCATGAAATAATCAATGACGCTGAACAGGTTTGGGAGCGTTACCTGTTTAAAGAAAGTGAGAGTAGGCTCAGTGTCATCTGTGTAAAGATAGAGTAAGAGAAAGCTCGCGTGAAATTTAATGAAGACTACTGTGAATTTCCTGATCTCTAGAAAAACACATCAATACCTCACTTCAATGAGGTATTGAATGAATGGCCAAGGTTTAACTACCCATGCATTGTATTTTTCTTTTATAATATCTAATTCCCTGTTGAGAAATTTCCCTTTTCCCATTTGGATACATTTTGGTGGACAATAATTTGGTATGCTGCTTTTCCCCAGTTACCAGATAAGAATGTGACTCAGGCTAGGCCAGAAATTTGAACTTGAGTAGAGGAACAAGAAAGGATAGTAGATTCCTAATTAGATGGTTCTTACTACAGTTGACCCTTGAACAACAGGGGGTTAGGAATGCCAACCCCATGCACTCAAAATTCCATGTTATAATTTTTGATTCCTCCCAGAATTAAACACTAATACCCTACTGTTGACCAGAAGCCTTACCAATAACATAGTTAACACATACTTAGTATATTATATGTATTATATACTGTATTCTTCCAGTAAAGTAAGCCAGAGAAAAGGAAATGTTATTAAGAAAATCACAAGAAAAATATATCTACCGTACTACTCTTTATTTAAAAAAAAAAAAAAATCCACATGTAGGTGGACCCAGGCGCTTCAAACCCATGTTGTTCAAGGGTCAACCATACAAGTAACTGCTTCCTAGTCCCTGAAGGTCTTCCAGCTTTCCAGTCATTTTATATGCTTCCTATGTTCTTAAATAAATCCTTTTTTGCTTAAGTTACTTATTTGGTTTCTTCCATTTGAAAACAAAGAACAGTTAAAGCTGGAAAATTTAGCACTTTAATATCTCACTGGAACAGGATCATTTACTTGACTAAGAGTAGCTGAAAAGTGTTGCCACCCCCAAGCTAATATTTTTACTTTTTTTCCTATAATTTATTTATTTTTTATAATTTACATCCAAGTTAGTTAGCACATGGTGCAACAATGATTTCAGGAGCAGATTCCTTAAGCCCCTTTCCCATTTAGCCCATCGTCCCTCCCACAACCCCTCCGGTAACCCTCTGTTTGTTCTCCATATTTATGAGTCTCTTATGTTTTGTCCCCCTCCCTGTTTTTATATTATTTTTGCTTTCCTTCCCTTATGTTCATCTGTTTTGTCTCTTGAAGTCCTCATATGAGTGAAGTCATATGATATTTGTCTTTCTTTGACTAATTTCACTTAGCATAATACCCTCCAGTTCCATCCATGTAGTTGCAAATGGCAAGATTTCATTCTTGTTGATTGCCAGGTAATACTCCATTGTGTGTGTGTGTGTGTGTATGTGTGTGTGTGTGTGTGTGTGTGTGTGTATACACACACACACACACACACACACCACATCTTCTTTATCCATTCATCCATTGACAGTCAGGCTCTTTCCATATTTTTGCTATTATTGATAGTGCTGCTATAAACACTGGGGTGCATGTGCCCCTTTGAAACAGCACACCTGTATCCCTTGAATAAATACCTAGTAGTTATTGTTGTAGGTTGTAGGATAGTTCTATTTTTAATTTTTTAAGGCACCTCCATACTGTTTTCCAGAGTGGCTACACCATTTTGCATTTCCATCAACAGTGCAAAAGAGATCCTCTTTCTCAGCATCCTCATCAACGTCTGTTGTTGCCTGAGTTGTTAATGTTAGCCATTCTGACAGATGTGAGGTGATATCTCAATGTAGTTTTGATTTGTATTTCCCAGATGATGAGTGATGTTGACAAGCTAATATTTTTATAAAAGTAGGGGTGCCTGGGTGGCACAGTCGGTTAAGCGTCCGACTTCAGCCAGGTCACGATCTCGCGGTCCATGAGTTCAAGCCCCGCGTCAGGCTCTGGGCTGATGGCTCAGAGCCTGGAGCCTGTTTCCGATTCTGTGTCTCCCTCTCTCTCTGCCCCTCCCCCGTTCATGCTCTGTCTCTCTCTGTCCCCCAAAAAATAAATAAACGTTGAAAAAAAAAAAAAGTAAAATCAGGTTAAGCCTGAATATCCCTGGTAACCTTGAAAAAGAAAAAGAATTCATAGAATGACAATCTGGTTGAGGGGTAGTGTTAGGGAGTGTGGAAGGTGAAAGAACAATCCAGGGGATTGTTCAGGCTAATTATGGATAAACGAGCCCCAGTTCACCAGTCACAGAGGTACACTCATTCCTGATTGCTTCCAGTCAGTTGGTATTTGGGTTATCCCTGAGCAATCTAGTTCTTTGTTACCTTCATTAGAATTTTTTGAAAAAGCCCTGGCAGTCATGGATGTGAGAACTGAGAAGCTTTGAGAGACATTTATGGCAAAGATGTAAGTGGGATGTACAAATCGGCAGCTTCTCTCCTTTTGGCAAAGGTCACCACTGCATGCAAAGAATTATGGTGTAAACATTAATAATTCAACCATACAGGGGCGCCTGGGTGGCTCAGTCACTTAAGCGTCCGACTTCGGCCCAGGTCAGGATCCCATGGCTCCTGCGCTCGAGCCACGCATCAGTTTCTCTGCTGTCAGTGCACAGCCAGCTGTGGATCCTCTGTCCCCCTCTCTCTGCCCCTCCCCTGCTCACGCTCTCTCTCTTTCAAAAATAAACATTAAAAAAAAATTCAACCATACTGTCCCTTTCTCTATTTGATTAACACAGTGGGCCTAGAGAGGCAGAGGCATTAAGAAGAACTTAATTTTAGAGAAGTTAAAATAAGTATCTTCAAGACTCATCAGTTCCATTTATGTCATATCACTTTTCAGGTCCGATCTTCCCTGCCACCGCAGCCTAAGATCCCACAACTATATTCCCTTTTCTGGCATCCGGGACCATAGCCACATTACTACGTTTTCATTGGTTGAGATGAATGTAAATGCCAGTTTTCTAACATCTATAACAGGCATTACCTCAAGGTAATGGTGAAGATGAAATTAAATGGTATCCGGGTGGGGTGGAGGGCGCCTGGATGGCTCAGTCTGTTAAGTGTTCAACTTCAGCTCAGTTCATTATCTCATGGCTCGTGGGTTCCAGCCCCATGTCAGGCTCTGTGCTGACAGCTCAGAGCCTGGACCCTGCTTCGGACTCTGTGTCTCCCTCTCTCTCTGTCCCTCCCCTGCTTTCACTCAGTTTCTCCCTCTCTCACAAAAATAAATACATTAAAATTAATTAATTAAATGGTATCGGTAAAGTACTTAGCTCTCTAATACAGTGACTTTGTGATTCTGATATTATATCATTAGCCCCATGGTAAGTTGGTTGGGATAACAGAGGGGCTGCAGATCAAGAGCAAACCATTTCTTCATGATTATGTTGCTATTATGACAGGCATTTCTGAACTTCTGCATGATGGGTATAAGAGGACTAGGCACGCACAGAATTTTTCCCTTTAGAAATAAGTGCATTGAAATATATATAGTTGGAGGATGTACAACAGATGTTTAACAAAAAAATATTCTCTCCCTGAAGCAACTCTATTGATAAAGAGTGCAGAGAAACAAAAGTAGAAAGAATTCTTAGCAGATTATCTTCTACTGTGCCACATCCCCCTGCGCTTATACCTCACTTCTTACCCTGACATTTGCCACGTTCAGGCCTCCTTAACATGGCTGTTTTTCACCAGCACTATGTTCCTAGGCAAGGGGTCTACTTTTCTACCTTTCTTTGAATTCTATAAGGTAGATTTAGGGAAAAGCAGAAGAAAATTCATCAAAAACAAGGAAATAGCTACTTACAGGTTTTTCCAGTTCAATGGTGTAGTTTTTTCCTACACTCATCACTTTGTAGTGCTTGATTCTTGGCATGCTAAAATGAAAAAAAAAAATATGTTACTCTCCATTTGAGTATATTACTGGATCAAATCAAACTAAAGGGAGTATAAAATATCACCTGTACAGTAAAACCTATGTATCCATTCCCATAGTTAGGAGAAAAAAAAAAAAGGTTTTATTTTATTATTTACCTGGTTCTGTATGTCTCTTTTGGGGGGTTATATGCTAGGGATATAGGAAACCTGAGTCATTGAGTGGGTGAATGAATAACTAAAAAAAAAAAAAAAAAAAAAAAAAAAAAAAAAAAAAAAAAGGAATCAAGAACAGAAAATCTTTCAGGCTCTGAAATCATTTTTTAATGCTAATAATTTACAAAGCAGGCAACATTATAAGATCCTATGTAGGCACATACAAATCAAATATATATCCTCTATAATAAAAGGGAAGTAGAAAAAATTGCTGAAAGCAAATTACTTTCTACCCCACCTTATCGCTATCCTAGCAGAAATCCCTGAATGGCTGTTCTTCCTGCTAGCTCATATACCACTCTGGATATCCACTAACTTCAGGACTGACTTAGAGACAGGGAAAATGCTCAGTATTAGGTACTATACGATTGTAGGAGACAATGTAAGTACAGCAGAGGAATCATAATGCGATTCCTCTTCTGTGGTCACATAGCACTCTAAATTATTACCACCCCAAACACATGGTATTTTACTGACTAGAATTGCTTAAGAACAAGAAGCACAGAATAGAAATTCACCTTTGTCTTCCAGCATTAGGCACACGATAAATATTTATGAAACTGAAGTTTTAAAATATTGCAAGCTCATCTTAAAGTGCTATTTGATAGAATTAATTTATATTGAGAGAAGCCAGTAGGTTTGCCTTGAATTCCCTTGATTCATATGACAGTGTCACAACCAGGACTTCTTCTAATGTTGAAAAGTTAAAAGCATTTATTACACTGCCATTTGCTTGAAAGAGAAACTAATTCAACATCACACAGAAGCAGTCTAAAAGCTGTCTACCAGGTTAAGTTTGTTAGCAGGGCCTCCCTCCTTCTTTCTTCTTTTTTTTTTATTTTTTTAAGTTTATTCATTTATTTTAAGAGAGAGCACAAGCAGGGTAGGGGCAGAGAAAGGGGAGAGAGAGAATCCTAAGCAGGCTCCATGCTATTAGCATGTGGGGCTTGAACTCACGAACCGTGAGATCAGGACCCCAGTGGAAATCAAGAGTCAGACACCCAACTGGGCCACCCGGGAGCCCCTCCCCACTTCTTCCTAATCAACCCTCTCTCCATTTCCAGGTCACATGTCTCTAGGACTGAAGTACACTTCTTTTTAAGGGACTTTTTCCTCATCTACTACTATATGCAAATATGCAAATATTCATTCTCTCAATTGAATATCACATTGGAAAATAGCTAATACTTTTATTCCAGTGGCTTATTGTAGAGCTTTACTTTTAAACCATTGCATAAAGCCTAACAAACCCTCTCCCCTTTGAAAAAAATTAAAATTAAAAAGTATTCTTTATTGCTGAACTTTCAGGAATCAGTAACAGACTGGTGAAGGAAACATTTTTGGACAGAGGTACCTTCTTTTGGGGTGGTTGATTCTAGCTTTATTTTTATCTCTACATGAAGAGATCTTTATAATCATATAGTTACTTTTGAAAACTCTCACCCATTCCAATTAGAATTCCTGTGTTCCTAAAAATTCCTGTATTATTCCTTGGAATAACTGATAGAAAACTTGAAGGGCATGATCTTTATAACAAGAAAGTTTAGGTTCACATTGTGATTCTATTGTGTAAGCTCTCACCCTTCATGTTTTCATCTATAAAACGGACATGGAAATGCCATTCCTTACAGGGCTATTGTAAGTTATTGTCTGAGAAGTCCTTAGTACAACGTCTGGCACATTTAGACATATAGTAAATCATAACTATTTTTGATACTTTTTAAATTTATCATTTTAACTTAGTTGTTTCTGCAAGGCTCAACTGCTTCATTTGTAAAACATGAAAAAAGAAAAAACTGTTCGTTTTTATTGTTCCTGAAGGAAATGCTTGTCAAGCACCCAACACAGCACCCACAAATTGGGACAATGATTGTTGTTATTAATAATAGCCACTATATCATCATCATCATCATCATCATTATTCATGACAAAACTGTGGGAGGAAGGGTAGCAAAGATGAGCAGTGTCTCTTGGAGCTTTTGACTAGAAGGACTAAATTCTGAAGCAGAAAGTTAGGAAAACAAAATTCCATTCAAGTCATTTAGGGTTTGAGTCTCATTTTAGACTTTTGTTTTTCTTTCATACTTTGTTTTGTTTCTCCAAAAAAATCAAGACCGAGGAAAAAACAAGATTGATAAAATGTGCTATATTGAGGTTTCCTGACAATGACCTCAAAAAAGAAGGAACCTGTCTTTTAACAAGTGTGTGGCTTAAATGTGGTATAAGTACTTGTTTTTTACTTCTGACCCCAATTTTTTACAGGAGTTAATTTGGGGTCAATATTTTCTGTTTCCTTGGCTAATGGATCTCCAAAGTGTGTTTACTACTAGCTTGCCATGTAGTCATAACAATTTTAAGAAAACAAAGCCAAACCACTAAGTTTGTCGTAAGAACAGCTCTACGTCTTAGGAATTCACACACCACTGGGCTGGCTAAAGGTGGATGGTATTTTGTATCAAGAGAGGAGTCACCTGATACTTTGACACTGAATGACTTTTGCTTCTTCCGGAGAAGAATCAATCTACCCTCCCACAACTGGTTTGTTAACAGATGGAGATAATTTTACTTTCAAGTACTGCTTTGTAAACTAGCCTGTCCTTTTCAGCCAGTGTTTTGCCAGATACACTCACTTAAACTTGCATAACTGCATATTTCTCCTATAACCTATAAGACAATAAATTGGTTTTGTGGGTTGTTACTCACCTATGTTCAGGTGCTTCCTAATCATCTAAATTTTTGCATTAAGCTTTACATTAAATCTTTACATTAAGCTCTACAGTCTAACAAGCTAACATTCTACTACTCTCTACAAGTGCTATCCTCTGTTAAACAGAAGATAGAAATCAGGCACTCTGAAAGTTCTATTTTGAGGCATTAGGCAATGCACAGAACAGTCGCTAACATCATAGATATTTCTGACTCATAAGGAAAACTGGTACAACAACAGTTCAAATTTTTCTTATCCATTTCCAACCACAAACTATTTCCCTGAGCCTAAGTGAGCATATAGTGACTGTAGCATTAGAATGCTCTACTTTGACCATTCCCCTCACTCTTTCTAAATATGAACTTTGGCGGGGGGGGGGGGGGGGGGGGGGGGGGGGGGGGGGAGAGGAGGAAATGTTATGTTTTTAGGACCATCAGCTGTACAAAGGCATGGATTTCTATATGAATTCAAACTGGAAATGAGTTTACTAAAATTAGAATTATGTAAGTTTGATATGAACTCCTTTGCCAGACAGGAGTTTAAATACAGACAAATATAAGTAAAAACTATGGCATGAAGTTCATATCCTAAGTATAGAAACATATTGCATTTGGTCACAAACCACACCTACAGCAGAAAACACTGTTATATCTTGGGAGGCCTGGGTGGCTCAGTCGGTTAAGCGTCCAGCTCTTGATTTTGGCTCAGGTCATGATCTCACAGTTCATGGGGTCAAGCCCTGTGTTGGGCTCTCTGCCCTGACCTCAAAACTTGCTTGAGATTCTCTCTCTTCTCTCTCTCTGCCCCTCCACTGCTTGTGCTCTGTCTCTCTTAAAATAAATAAATAAACTTTAGGGGTGCCTGGGTGGCCAGACTTGATCTTGGCTCAGGTCATGATCCCACAGTTTGTGGGTTCAAGCTCCGTGTCAGGCTCTGCACTGATAGCTCAGAGCCTGCTTAGAATTCTCTCTCTCCCTTTCTCTCTGCTCCTCCCCCACTCATTCTCTCTTTCTCTCTCAAAATAAATAAACATTTTTTAAAAGCTTTACAAAAACAGACACATAGACCAATGGAATAGAATACAGAACCCAGAACTGGACCCACAAATATATGGACAACTAATCTTCAACAAAATAGGAAAGAGTATCCAATGGAAAAAAGATAGTCTCTTTAGCAAATGATGCTGGGAAAACTGGACAGCAACATGCAGAAGAATGAAACTGGGCCACTTTCTTATACCATACACAAAAATGAATTCAAAATGGATGAAAGAATTAAATGTGAGACAGGAAACCATCAAAATCCTAGAAGAGAAAACAGGCAACAACTTCTTTGACCTCAGCTGCAGCAACTTCTTACTTGACATGTCTCCAAAGGCAAGGGAAATAAAAGCAAAAATGAACTATTAGGACCTCATCAAGATAAAAAGCTTTTGCACTGCAAAGGAAACAATCAACAAAACTAACAGACAACCAACAGAATGGGAGAAGATATTTGCAAATGATAAAGGGCTAGTATCTAAAATCTATAAAGAATTTATCAAACTCAACACCCAAAAAACAATCCGGTGAAGAAATGACAGAAGATATGAAGAGACACTTTTCCAAAGAAGACATCCAAATGGCCTACAGACACATGAAAAATACTCAACATCACTTATCACCGGAGAAATACAAATCAAAACTACATTGAGATACCACCTCACACCAGTCAGAGTTGCTAAAATTAACAGCTCAGGAAACAGATGTTGGCGAGGATGTGGAGAAAGGGGAACCCTCTTGCATTGTTGGTGGGAATGCAAGCTGGTACAGCCACTCTGGAAAACAGTGTGGAGTTTCCTCGGAAAATTAAAGATTGAATTACCCTACAACCCAGCAATAGCATTACTAGGAATTTATCCAAATGATACAGGAGTGCTGATTCAGAGGGGCACATGTACCCCAATGTTATATAGCAGCACTATCAACAATAGCCAAATTATAGAAAGAGCCCAAATGTCCATCAACTGATGAATGGATAAAAAAGATGTGGTATATATATATACAATGGAATACTATTTGACAATGAAAAATAATGAAATCATGCCATTTGCAACAACGTGGATGGAATTGGAGGATATTATGCTAAGTGAAATAAGTCGGAGAAAGATAGATATCATATGTTTTCACTCATATGTGGAAGTTAAGAAATTTAACAGAAGACCATTGGGGAAGGGAAAGAAAAAAATATATATAGTTACAAACAGAGAGGGAGGCAAACCATAAAAGACTTTTAAATACAGAGAACAAACTTAGGGTGGAAGGGAGTGGGGGGGGGCAGGGAAAACGTGTGATGGGCATTGAGGAGGGTATTAATTAGGATAAGCACTGTGTGTTGTATGTAAACAATGAATCATGGGAATCTACTACTCCCGAAGCCAAAAGCACACCGTATACACTGTATTTTAGCTAACTTGACAATAAATTATATTTAAAAAAAATAATAAATAAATAAAAACAAAAGAAACAAAAAAATTAAAAAGCTTCAAAAAATAAACTTAGAAAGAAAAAAAGAAAACACTTATTTCTGATAGCTCACATGTATGGAAAATGCAATGCAAAAGTTGGGGTAATCTAGACCACCTTAAAGAGACCAGGCTGCTTTGTGCAGGAAACATACAGTCTTTAGAGTCATTAGGTCTCCGGACTTTGTTCCTTTTATACAGAATAATAACACAGCGTTCACATACTGATGGATCAAACACTCAATCCAACCAAGAATAAAATGAAGGAAGAAAAGCTAATCACTCTCTTGTGTGATTTAGCTTTCAAGCAATTAAATTTCTTTTTTTAGAAAATCTGAGAAATAGATTTTAATTCAGTTTTATATGCTCTTCATTTTTAAAGCGAAAGTAAATTAGTTAAAAGCATTCTGTACTCTATGTGATATTCAATTGCCCAAACCGTGAAAAAGGACAAGTTTCTTGACCAAGATTTACTCAACAGAAAAATTCACTTTTCTCCCAGGGACGCTTCTAAGCCCCCCTATATTTAATGGCAGTCAATTTTTATTTCTTCTGGATTTGTTTCAAAATAATCAATTAAATTATATATCAAATAAATTAAAATTGACTAATCTGTGATATTCTACCATATTAGTTGAAAATACATCAACCCCGGGGCACCTGGGGGGCTCAGTCACTTAAGCCTCTGACTCTTGATCTCAGCTCAGGTCATGATCTCAAGGTTCTTGAGTTCGAGCCCCACATCAGGCTCTGTGTTGATGGTGCAGAGCCTGCTTAGGGTCTTCTCTATCCCTTTCTCTGACCCTCCCCTGCTTGTGCTCTCTCTCTAAATGAAATATAAATAAACTAAAAAGAAAAAAAAAATTAAAGAAAATACATCAACCCCAAGTGTCAGGCATTATAATAAAAAATAATGAAGCCACAAGAACATTAAGTTAACATAGATATTCATTGTGGAAAATGACACACGCACGGAGTCTCTTCACACACAGAACCAGGATCTGATCTGCCATCTATCATTCTTGCCATCTATTCAGTGCACATGGCTGAAGTATAAAGACAAGTCCCTGTTTATATGGAGTAATTGGCAAGTGATGAAGCTGATTGGGCCATGGCTCACTGTAATTATTTTCTCTTTACTGCCTTTATTCACAGTCAGTGTCTTCATATTTAATATTTACAGTGGGCTGGTAGATAATGTTACAGCTAAAATAATTGATGGAATATTATCCCCACAAAGAATAATACATTCAAGAATCAAAGTTCTGTTTATATTTTTATATGAAAGATAATTACTTATTGAACATTTTCATTTAGGATAAAAATCTGTATTTTAATTTCACTATCATTTATTAAAGTGTTAACTAACCTAGAGTACCTATTGAAATGTGAGATTTCACGGACCCTGAGAGCTGGAGTGGAACTTCGAAGATCCAACCACCTTAGCTACATGGAAAAATCAACTTCTGTATGTGTTACTGATCTCATCAAAGGTAAGCCACTTTACCAGAAAGAAATTATTCACCTTTCCAACAGACTCCTAAGCAGTCCTTCTTATAGATGTCAGATAATGTCACGTCTTCATTCATCACGGTCTAGTGACCTCTCATGTCATTCAGAGTATATAACCCAGGTCAGGTCCCTACAATGACCTGTAGGGTTTAGAGTAATTGGTCCCCACCCCCACCTCTGGAATCTCATCTACCACTGTTTCCTTGTTGGCATCACCAAGCAGCCTCTTTCTGTTTTTGAACAAACCCAGACTTCTGCCTCTGGGCACATGCACTTGCTACCGGGAATGCTCTTGTCCCAGACCTGGGCAAGGTTTGTTCCCTCACTTCCTTCAGGCCCCTGCTTAATTAAATGTCAGTTAATAAAGTAGGCCTTCTCTGACCACTCTGTATGAAAACAACAATAGCAATAAGAAAACGTTTCTCTATATATCGTCTCTGACAGTTCCCATCTCCCTCATCCTCTTTTATTTTACTTCTATAGACCTTATTACCATATATATGACTTTTTAGTTATGCTATTTATTTATAGTCCATGTTTCCTTACAAGAATGTAAACTCCTTAAACCAGGGATGATGTTTTGTTCACTACTCCATCCTCAGTACCTAACATATTACTTGGCCATCTAGTAGTTGTTCAATAAATATTTGTTGAAATGAATGAACAATAGAACTATACTCAAGATCAAAGTAATTTGTCCATTCTTCTTCCCTGCAGTAAATATTAGCCTTGGCTCAGTCTTTAGCATTGTTTCTATAACATTCTCTCTATTCTTGTGTTTCTATCTTTAGCCCCAACAAAACACACAGCAGCTGCTGATCTTGTGTGACTTTGCCTTTTAAAGTGATACCGTGCTTTTAACAATTCCATATGTTTTTTTTTTTTAATTAAACATACTCTATCCCCTGCCGGATAGTGATGGAATAGTTTTTGCTGTCACTACCAGGCCTCAGGATCATATTTCCCAAAGAAGGGTTCTTCTCAAGCATCTCGATTGCTTCTTTCCGGGACACCGCATAAAAACATCTATAAAGGTGAGATGAAAAACAGGATTTTTTTAACTGATGAAGATCATTACTTGAAAAAGATGCTTCCAAAATAACTCTAAGAGCTGTAGTTATTAATTTTTCTTAATTTAATTCCCAGTTTTATTACTACAATTACAATGATATAATTACTGTTATTACAAGCCTGGGGCACTATTAAGCACACTTATGCTTAATTAAGGTCTTTCTTCCCTTATCCCTCCAAACCTCTTTCTTTAACCAAAGAGGATCTGAAAAGTTACCTACTGGTCAGTATGTAATCACCATTACCATTTGAAAATCTAAAATAAGAATTAATAGTATATCTCCAGTTCATAATCTCAGTTTATAATAAGCTCTTGGATAAATAATACTGGTTGGTGGTTTCTCTTCAGGGATACAAAACATTTCTATAGATGGTTCTCTTCTATGGTCTCTGTTTTAAATAACTGATATTTAAGGGCATATCTGAATCTACTCCTTTTAGTATAATATGGCTTTCCAATGGCATTGATGCTATTTTAATGCATAAATCTTTAAGAAAGCACTTCTCATTTTTATAATAAATTTTGTAGTCAATGAAAAGTCTGGGTTTTTTCAACAGAGAAAAATATGGCAAGATATGCAATTACCCAAAAGGTTAACAGTGAATATCTCTGTGTGGTGGGAAAAAGAATGGTTTTAATATTCTTTTTATCTATTTGTAAAAATACATATTACTTGTTTTATTGAGGAAAAAAGAAAAAGAGGCAGTTTGTGTGACTTTTAACCTATCAGTCCTTCAAATGTCACTGGTTTCAGCTGAGAGTGATGGTAGGCAGGTGTCAGCACTTACAGTACAGCTAGACTGTACAGAGCAGAACCTGATGTCGCAGGTGGTACCAGCGTAAGTTTCCCTGACAAGAAGACCTCGACTTCAGGAGGAAAGGGATCCCAATCTTAGCCACACTTTTCAGCAATATAAGAGTGAAAAATAAGGATGTTGCTGGGTTCAGCCTGTCTGTGCCTCTTCATTTTCCCACCAACACCTTCTACACTGTTCACAGGGCTTTCCTCAAAGTACAAGCTCAATCAGTACTCACTGATTAGACAACTGAATAGAACATTCAGATACTTGAAACTCTTTGGTCTAATTTTCTGACAGAAAAACAGTCAACCATGGAGTTGCATGGTTAAAAAAAAAAAACCCAACATCTTTTCCTTCCTTCTACATAGCAGTTTTTATTTAGGGTTGAGCTTTGGAAAGAATATCTATTTGGTCTAAAGGTGTGGGTGGAAGGGGATTTCCTGTGCGGTAAAACCTGCATTTTGAATTTTGGTGATTATGACATAGAAGAGGAAATGTGGCATCTACTCCGAGATCTAATGTTCACCCGCAAGACAGTTTACTATCCCTGGTTTAATGAGGTCAATGGCTCACTCTCCTTGATAATTAGAAATTAATATTAACAATCTAATAAACAAACTAGAGTTTGTGGTACACTTACACTGGCATAGGGTTCAGTACATCCACATAATCTTCAGTAGGTTCCTGCTCCTTTTCTATAGCTGAACTCGGTATCCGCTCTGTCTCAATCCTCCTCCTTTTCTCTCTCTCTAGGACTTCTTGCAGTCGAATTACTTGCCCAGGAAGGAGTGACACGTGTAGAGGAACTGACAGCTGAAACCAATTAAGTCAGTAGGCAAACAAGAAAACAGAGTAACTAAGTGATTTCAGCAAAGAGGAGACCGCTGTGGTCCTAAGGAGCTTCAGTTATCTGACATGGATGGGGAGGATCATGAATAGAGGATCTTGGTGTCTTAAAACTGCCTTCAAGGTGCACCTGGGTGACTCAGTCAGTTCAGTGGCTGACTTCGACCCAGATCATGATCATGCAGTTTGTGAGATCGAGCCCCACATTGGGCTGTGTGCTGACAGCTCAGATCCTGGAGTCTGCTTTGGATTCTGTGTCTCCCTCTCTCTCTACCCCTCCCCCATTCATTCTCTGTCTCTGTCTCTTAAAAATAGACATAAGAAAAAAAAAAACTGCCTTCAAGCCAACCACAAAGCTTTAACTTGCACAATGTGCCCAATCTTCTTCCTTCTTCCTAGAACTGTTCCTTTTGGCCTGGCACATAGCAAAGTCTACCCACCTTGCACTACAGGCTAATTCAAGTAACAACATATCTCTCATTTTTCATTCTGACCTCACTAGTTCTTGCTGCCAGTTAAGTCCCAAAGTACCAGTGAGGTGCCTTGCTGTCCCACAGCTAACCTGGAATTCGCTGCACCAGCCATATGGCAACATAGGGTTCAGATGGAACTATTCGTTAGATGACCGAGCATCTGTAGCCAGAGGTCTAGACTTCGGTGTATCTGTGTGTGTATTTCAAATTTTCATTCACACATTAGGATTATGATACTGTTGTACTTAGTTTCTTTTAGCCTTCTCTAGAGATGTATTTTGGATTGAGTAACCTATACCCTCCTGATATTCGTACCCCTGATTTACATCTCCTTATGGCCTATTTACATGTGCTTATTAATTCCTATTGTTTATATCTTATATATGTGCATATATGTGTGTTTGTGAAGTTTGAAATAAAAACAGAATAAGGGTACACAATAAAAAATGATTAGAGACTTTTTCTGGATAACTTAGCTAAGCTAACTAATAATCAGTACAGTTATTTCCTTATATACCAATCCAGCAAATAAAATAAAAGAATGAGGAGAAACTAATGAGGAAGGTACTGCTTATTAATTGCCTATTATGTCCCAAGCATTGTGCTATTGCAAATCCTCACAGCAATACTATAAGAGAGGTATGTTATCCCTACTCTACAAATAGGGGGGAAAAAAAAGGTTCAGGAGAAAGAAAAAGGTTCAGAAAAGTTAAATAACTAACAGGGTCACATAGCTAGAAAACTGTGGACTCAAACTCCAGTTTATTTAATTCAAAAGCAAAGTTTCTTTCTTTTTTATCTTTTCATTTCTTTTCTTTCTTTTCTTTCTTTCTTTTCCTTTCTTTCTTTCTTTCTTTCTTTCTTTTTTTTTTTTTTTTTTTTCTGCTCTTTCAACTACAGTCTATGTTTCTCGAACTTCTGGTAAAGCTGTCCTAACAACAGTATGGTGTGAATGTACACAGAGTGTTCAGGGAACCTAGTAACAAACAAAATTCATACAGCACAAAATTTAAGATAACTGTTCTTCTCTTGGAAATTCACATGAATTTTATTTTGCGTTCTGTAATATAATTATGTACATTTTAATTAAAATAATGCTTTTTATCCTTAACTTAAGGAAAAAAACTAAAAAACAATTTCTTTTTGCCAAAACATAATTAGTGTACCAGGTAGATGCACCCCAAGGCTTTCCAGTGGTTTTGGTATTCTCTTTGATACCTACTCATATACCCTTGGGATACTTGTATCCCAATATAAAAGTGCTGTGTCACACAAAGATGCTTTTTCACAACATCACTGGACTTCCCCATTGAGTTTCTTCCTCCACACAAGTCAAAATGTCTTTCACATCTTTAACTCGTCCAGTTTTCTAACCTCCTGAGACTTCCCTACATGGTAGCTGAACGTCCAACTTTCACCTGTTATTGGCTGATATAAAAAGCCAGCATCAGGGCACCTGGGTGGCTCAGTCAGTTAAGCATCTGACTCCTGGTTTTGGCTGAGGTCATGATCTCACAGTTCATGAGATTGAGCCCCACTTTGTGCTCTGTGCTTACAGAATGGAGCCTGCTTGGGATTCTCTCTCCACCCCCTCTCTGCCCCTCCCCTTCTTGAACTGTCTCTCTCTCTTAAAATAAATAAGGAAACCTAAAAAAAACCCAGCATCCATCATCTCAGTAAAGTGCAGTGCTTATCTCATGTGACTGCAAAGCCTTTACTTAGGAACTCGCTTTGGATAGTCTGTACTTAACTGACTTCTTCTCTTAAAGTATCAGAGAACATGATCCTTCTTTGGGGGCTGGCTCTTAAAGTACCTAATGTTTATAAGACAGTTGCTACAGAAGCTTCACTTAAAATAATGGTAGACATCCTGCTGCAACTGTTAACTATAAGCAGATCTTACTATTTGTCTCTGAGAAGATGCCATGGGAGCTGAACAGGTAAGCATCCTTTTGTCTTAAGACTAACTACACAAATGCTTAAAGGTGAATATTCATTTTGATGGTCTTTCTGTTATATTGTTTATGTTATTCATAAAATTCATCTCAGCATTTTATAAATATGTATTAAATGAATAAGAAAGGAATTGGAAAGTATTTTAGATGATGCTATATAAGCTGTAACTATCAACATATACAAAGAACCATTGTGTCAAAAGACCAAAAAGTAGATCTCCCTGACCACCTGTTACTCTCTAGCTAGCACATGGCCTGGTTTATTTTCTTCATAACAGTTATCACAATTTTAAACTATTTTGTTTATTGTCTTTCTTCCTTTCCATCCACCTCATACAAATATAAATTTCATGAGTAAATGTACGGGTATATATCTGTCTTTTTCAATTCTTGTATCTTCACTTTACCCTTTTCACTCTGTATGGTTCATAGTCAGTGTCCAGTAAATATTTGTTGAATTAATGAATCAATCAAAAGTAATGTCCTTCCTACCTCTGTTACTGTAAGAATGAAGCCTCTCCACTCTTCCCCACTTTCTGCGTTTTCTGTCTGAAGATGAAAACAAAAACATAAAGAAAAAAAACATAAGTGTGAACATTAACACTTTTATTAACTTCAGGTAATTTTAGAATTTCATATGATTGTTTCATAAGACTCCAAATGTGTAAGCTATCAAAACCCAGCAAGGTTGACAAAATGCATATCTTTCTATTGAAGCACGTTGTTTTAAAAAGTCAGTTGTAATTTTTAAAGCACTTTAAATTAGTTGAAAGGAAGAAACAATTCATTTTCCTTTTTGTTTAAGACAATGCATATGTTATGAAATTCCAAAACTATTTTCTTTTGTCAGAAGTATATAGCTTCAATCTATCTGCTTACCAAACAAGTAAAATCATACACATTTACTTTTAAAAAAGTAAATGTTATTCACTTATTTCTGCAATGTGTGAGTTAATGGTTGATCCACCCCACTGGTATTTAATATTGACTGGCTTTAAGTTTGCAACCAGGTAAGACCAATATAGTTAGTCCTTAAAAATTTCCAATTCTTAGCTCTAAGTCCTACTAATATAGCCAACATTTATTAAGTATTTATAGGGGGCAGCTACTGTTCTAAGTACTTCACACATTAAATGATTTAATCTTTATGGTAATTCTGCAAAAGGTACTTTAAGAAATTTTTATTTTATAGATTTGCTCATTTAACATATTTATTGAGTACCTTAAGGGCTAGGCACTATTCTAGGTACTGGTTCACATCAGAGAACAAAATACTAATCCTTGTTCTGGAATTTTGGATCTAGTTATGGAATAATATATCATAAGTAGAATAGTAAGTAAATATTGTAGCGTCAGAAGGAAATAAATGGGAGAATAAAATGTAGAGCAGGGTAATTGAGAATTTCAATGAGAATGTCATTAGGGGCTAGGGGAGAGGAAAAGGGTTGCAATTTTAATAAAATGGTCCAGGTAGTCTCAGTAAGAGAGATACATCTGAGTAAAGACTTACTTGTGGATGAAGAAACCAAGGCATAAAGGAGTTAAGTAACTTGCCTACAATTACACAGCTGATGAATAAAACAGCCAGAATTCAACCCCAGACATATGATTCCAATCTCGTGTTCTTTATCCACCATATCAGAATCATCTGGGAACTTTGCTTAAAACAAAAAATCTGGGGCCCAGGGTTAGGGGTAGGGCCTAGATTTCCTAACTAGCGATTCCTAGTACAGTATTCCCCCTTATCTATGGGGATACATTCCAAGACCCCCAGTAGATGCCTGATATCGAAGATAGTACTAAACGCTACATATACTATGTTTTTCCTGTACATACATGCCTATGATAAAGTTTAAATTATAAATCAGACACAGAGATTAACAACAGTAATGGAATAAAACAATTATCACAATATTCTTCAATAAAAGTTATGTGAATGTGGTCTTTTTCTCAAAATATCTTATTGTGCTGTACTCACCCTTCTTCCTGCAATGGTGCGAGATGATAAAATGCCTACATGATGACATGAAGTGAGGTGAATGACGTAGGCCTTGTGGTGGAGTGTTAGGTTACTACTGACCTTTTGATAAGGTCAGAAGGAGGACCATCTGCTTCCAGGCTGCAGTTGACCACGGGTAACTGTAACCACTTTAAGGGGGGGAGGGGGACTACGGTACTGTAAAGATTCATGAGCAGTGCCTGCAAGGCCAACTCGAACAACTTCTTATTCAATTGCAACAATACATTTAACACTGTAATTGTTGGTTGACTTTAACTGGCTCGCTTTGAATGTCAATTCAAGAAAAACTGTTTTTCTGTGCAAGTGCTAGCTGTACAGTGATGAATTTAACAAACAAATTTCTGCTCGTGTGGGGCTTAGAGTTTTATGAGATTAATACCATCTTTCACAAACGGTGTATATCTAATACACAGTTCTTTTCTGAATTTTTCTATTGTAACAGTAATGTTCTTTATAGTTTTTTGTTTTCCTTTTCTAGCCCAGAATCCAGTCCAGGATCACACACTGCATGTAGCTGTCATACGCCACAGTTTCCAAAATTGGACACAGGTGTCTGGCCTTCCTTTGGCTTTTCTCACAGCGATATTTTTGAAGATTACTGTACAGGCCAATTGCCTTGCAAAATATCTCTCGATTTGTGAAATGTGGGTTTGTCTAATTCAGTAGTTCCAAACATGTATCATGTTGGACACGGCTCAGATTCATCTGGGAACTTGGTAAGTATCAACTCAAGAACAACTTCTTAAAAACACCAGGTGGGATCTCTGACTTTGTCAGAGGACAGAAGTGTATGGTTTCAATGTGCTTGTATACTAAACAAGTGGACAGGCCCTTTCAAATCCCTATTTGGAAAACTGCAGTTTTTGGCAAGAGGCAAGAAATACGAACAAAGAATGAGACTTGGCAGGTCCTCTTACGATTCCTCTTTACCTCAGCTCAGTGGGTTGTGAAGAGGCGAGTGCTATTTATAACAACTTGTTTCCAACTAATTGCGTCTCCTCACTCACCTTCAGTTGCACTTCCTCTTTTGGTAAAACAAGGGTGAATTTTGCGCAATTCTTTTCGGTTGAATTCTGGTCAGTAAGGCATGTGAGGTCTATTATGTCTAACTTGTCAACATACTGCAAAGATAAGGAAAATCTCATTAAATTGTTTCATGGGTAACATACATTAGTTCTAGAAAGGAGGAACATAACTGATTTGGACCTTGCATGAAATCTTGGCTTTCAACTGGGCATCGCAAGCCTTCCGAACTCAGAAGGCATTTGGAGATGTATTCTGTGATGGTCCACATGAATACATCTGGCCCACATGACTTTGCAAAAGCTGATTCTTTCATTTTTAGGAAGTTTGCAAGCCAGTCACTAAACACAGCTGTTAAAAATTAAATTATATAAACATACAATTATATTAAAAACAAAGGTAACTAAAATTCAAAACTCATTATTTTCTAATTATATTACTACATTGTATTTGCTATGCCCTTGAGGTTATTTACATCCTCATTTCTGTTTGAGGGAAATACTATCTAACAGTGTATTACCATACCTTTCTTCCCAATTCAGGAAAGTCACACTGATAGTTTAAAATCAGCTGTGGTGGGAGTATTTACACCTTGGAAATTGGTAAACCTTACAAATTAGGGCTTGATTTATTGTTTTGTTAATTGTCCTAGGAGCCAGCAATTTTTTTTCTGCAAAAGCTAGATAGTAAATGTCTCAGGTTTGCAGAACACACAGAGTCTCTGTTGCAAATTCTTATTGTTTTCATACAACACTTTGAAAATGTAAAAAACATTCTTAGCTCATAGACTGTACAAAATCAGGCCAGTGGCTAGATTTGGGTCAAGGGCCACAGTTTGCTGGGCTCTGGGTAGCAAAGTGAGGGGGTAAAACATTAATAAAGCAGATAAAATGTTAAAGTTTCTTGTGTTTGAAACTTTTTCATTGTGAACAGAACAAAAAAAAATTGACAAAATATTGTCCCATGATTCAGAAATTATCATGTTGTTTAGCAAAGAACTTACCCATGTCATTATCAAAATAGGTGAAGTTCTAACATACATGATTATTGCTTTGCTTTCCTCTTATCATTAATGTAAAAAAAAATATCAGTCGACATTCATATCAAATGTCACATTTAGTGACAAATTTATTAGGGAAACAGCAGATTGGAAGACAACTGCATTTGTCAAATCATGATTGAATTGCAATTTTAGTTGCCTGTGGATCCAAGTTCAGAAAGATCAATGAAAGTATCTGTGAGAATCAATTACCTATATGGAAACTATAATAAAAAATATTGTAGGGGCGCCTGGGTGGCTCAGTCAGTTAAATGTCTGACTTCGG